GTGTAGGGATTCTGCACGAGTTCTTGAGCTTGACGTTAGAGAAAAGAGCTTCGATACATCACATTGTTGAGTTCAAAGACGAGTTTAGCTTGACTAGGCAGACTTATCAGATGCTGAAGAAGCAGCCGAGAACGTTTTACTTGGCGGGCACTGAGATGAATTGGGCAGTTTTCTTGAAGGATGGTTATGATGAGAACGGGGTTTTGGTAAGTAAGGAACCACAGGTTTTGTTCAATGAGAAGCTGTATAAGTATGCCGATATGCAGCGGATGAAAACGAATCATGATCTTGATGATCACTGAGGAGCTGAACTTTTTCTTGGAGGAGAATGATCTCACCGAAGGCAAGTCCATTGGTTGATGAAATTTAGGTTTAATACTTTGATATAGAGCTTGCATTTGCATCCTCTGCTGAATATCTTTAGAGATTTTGTTGGAAAGGTTAATTCTTCTGTGTGATACAGGAGAATGCTTTGGTTTGATTCATTCATCATCAGATTCTTCCATGGCTGTTGTTCTTCTCCATTGAACAGCCAGGTAAAGTACAGGTTCTGATTCCATTTCTTGCATTGTAACATCAAGATTAGTGTATGTTCTTTGTATGTAAGCCAATGCTTAAGGTTCGTTGATCTTTTCATTTTTATTTTCCGTGTTTCCAATTTCGAGGTTTTGAAAACAGATCCCTTCTTTAAATAGTCATAGCTCTAAGAACAAGTTTTGAACTTTTGATTCATGTAATCTGTCGGGTTTGTTGTTGGATTTGCATCTCATTTGTCATCATAGGCCCGGACTAAACATTTTAGATCATTACATATCTTGATACCTGCAATCTTCTTGTAATTTTCATTAGTTGCAAAAAAAGAATATGAATCTGTATATTTTTCAATTTAGTGCCACAAAAAAGGGTATAGAATTATAACCTGAAAAACTTAGGATTTTCTTCTGTCATAGAAATATGATTTTTTGGGTCCATACGAATGATTCGGGGCGAAATGTCATTTCACTTTGTGGTGTTTGTTTATTCTTAATCCCGTTGGATCCATTAAACGGTCAAACATGCCACCGCATGAATACATTATTATAAATTAAATTACTCTCTGTCTCTCTCTCCCTTGTTAGTTATCCCTTCCCGTTCTTCCTACGAACTATCCAGTGCTACAGCAACGACTTCTTGCCCTTTGGTTTGTCTCCTAAGTCCGATCATTCGCCAAGAAAAATTCCGGTGATATTTGATGTAACCCTTTCCTCTTCTTCATATATCGGTCTCCAAATTCCATTTCGCGTTCGATACATCTGAGGAAATCGACATTTGGCAACATGTCAACTTCTTTGGGTTGTCCGCGACAACATCCGCGTTAGGATCACTGTTTTTTTTTCACCTGGGTATTGTGATTCTCTGGGGAGAATTTCTGGGTTTCGATTGTTTCCGCTAATGGAGACACGGATCTTGTTGTTCGTGGTGGTGCTGGGAAATCTAACTTGCGCCGCCGTCTCCTCCTCCTCATCCAGCAAAAGGGTTTCGTCTTGTCCCTTGGGTTCCTCCAAAGATCACATCTTAGGATTTCGAGATCGGTATTGTCCTGTATCTTGGCCTGGTGGTGAAGAATCGGACGCGCATCCAAGTTTCGGTTCTGTAACCAGGGTACGTTTCGGGAATCTCGATCAAGTTCTAGGGTTTCCTTTTGTCTAAATCTGTGGTTTAGCTGAATCTCGCTCTGGATTAGGGTTTGCGTCGAGCTAGGCGATTCTATATCGGAAAGAGTTACTTTTTTTTTTTATAGAAAAAAGTCTCATATGTGATTGTAAATAAAGGGATAAAGCTACCACAAGATGAACTAACACCAATGGCTGGATTCCTGAATTCGAGTATTTTTTGCTCCGGCGTGGTTCTTCATTGTTCATTGATTTTTCCTGGTTATGTAGGGAAATGAGCGTTGTTTGCAAATCATGTTGGATATGATTCATAAGAGAGAGTGCAAGTATGTGGCTGTGCTCTTCTTTGCGTCGTGGTGTCCTTTCTCCAGATCATTTAGACCGACCTTCAGCATAATCTCTTCGCTCTATTCTTCAATTCCTCACTTTGCAATCGAGGAATCTTCTGTCGGGTCAAGGTTGGTTGATAGAAAGCCATAACTTTTTCGGGGTTAGACATATCCGAACTTCGAACTTTGGTTAATTGCTGTTTTTTCTTGATGTAGTGTACTGTCCAAGTATGGAGTTCATGGATTCCCTACTCTCTTCATTATGAATTCGACAATGAGAGTTCGTTACCAAGGGCCCAGCAGAAGCCTCAGTTCTCTTGTTGCATTTTATCGCGATGTTACCGGTAAGGCATCTTGTTTCTTGCAGCTGCTTCATTGGATATTCATTTCGGCTTAGTATCTTTGTTCTAATGCTTTGGCCTTACCTTGGAGTAGACACTGGTCGATTTCCATAGTGAGGCCAGATGATAGGCTAGAAAAGATTATATTTTAATGAGCCGCACCATGCAATATGCATATGGGATGTTGCTCTTTTCTTCTCTGTGTTTTGGTTTATAACAGGCTTCTGATATTTGATCAGGCGAGGGTTTCAAGTTTAAACCAATGGAACTAAGCTCCATTGAAAAATTGGACGAAGCTTCGGTTGAGGAAAACAGACTAGTGAATCTGCTTCGCCAAGAGACGTGTCTGGCTCTTGCCACCGTATTCGTCCTGTTGAGATTGCTCCATTCGGTTTTCCCTACGAGACTGTTTGCTCAGAACATGAGCCTGGACAGCCTACTAGAGCATACGGTCGTGTATCTCAGCAGGGTTGTACAGTTATGCATTCGTCTTAAAGAACCTCGCAAGAGGAGGAATTTGCAGGAAGGAGCCATGAATGCCGGAGCTTGGGCTTCCAAGTCTTTAGCGACTGTATCGATCGGGGATTCAAGCTCATCGAGCAGATGAGTCTCAACTCCTCAGCGATGTTAACCTCTAATGGCTTGTAGAGCGCGGCGTTCGGATGAAAATGCTGACTGTATTTGCCATCTTTTACTAGGATTCATTGCTAAAACGTTTTGCAGCAGAAGCATTGATCTGTCCTCCTGTACTTCTTTCCTTTTACATCTTCAGAGAATTTCCTGCTGTAAAAAGGGTGAGTCCATGATTTTAGATTGTATAAACTCTTTCACATTTTTTTTTTAATCCAGTCTCCTACTTGTTGGAAAGTGAAAGTGAATCCCATTAATCAATCTCTATAAAGGTCATATCTTTCTTCATGTATCCGCATTTTGCATCACAGAAAAATCATGGTCATAGTCGAATATGATGTCATCATGTTATGCAATTTGGGGAAGAATATGATGAATTTACGCGGTTCAAAAAGTCGTGATTTCACAAGATTCTCGTCACTTTACAGATAATTCTGATTAAAACCTCTGGTACATTTAGAGGCTTAGAGTGGGGACAAAATGTGGTTCGCACGGATAATGAAGACATGAAAGAACCATTGAAAAGTGGTGAGGGGTCACATAAACGTCATCGGAGGGTTCAGATTTCTCCATCACAAGGTTTTGAGGCATTCCACTACCGAACACATATTCTCAGCCGTCGATCTCTTCATCTTTGTCTGAAACCCGACCGTCCGCTCCTTACATACGGACACAGCAGCCTTTTTTTTCCCCTCATCACTGTCATCAGAACAAAGACAAACGCGGGGAGAGAGAGAGAGAGAGACGATGGAGAAGGAGAGAGAGAATCAGGTTTACTTGGCGAGGCTTGCTGAGCAAGCCGAGAGATACGATGGTAATTAAAGTCCATACCTTTCTGAATTTGGGTTTTTTTTAGTTTTGCTTTGATTCTTTGAACTCTGTTCCCTAGATCTCCGTTTCATGTTTTTTCCCTGAAATGTACGGATTTTGGGTTTTTTCATGGTTTCCCAGAGAAGAACAGGTTATGAATCTTGAGTTTTTATGGTTTTTGGGCCTTGTTGATATCGATTCCTTCGTTGATGTATGCGTCTGCTTGATGCTTTTGTTGTTTTCGATTAATGCTTTTTATGCCAATCAATTTGAACTTCTAGTCGGCAGAATCGCAGAGTTAGAGTTAGGACACTCTTTATGGTGTGTGTTTTTGTCGGTATTTGATCCACAAATGGATCTTATTCTTATGTTTTCGGTTCTTCTTTTCTGAGTTCTGGGTTGTGATTGGCGCCTTCTACTGTCTTAATAGCATTAGTAAAATGAGAAAAAGAAGATCATTTTTTGATGACCCTCTTGTAAATAAAGTTCAGAGTCTTAAAAACTAGAGAGATTCGATTGTTCTTTACGTGTTATTAATTGGTGCTGATCTTAAATCTTTAGTGTTACAGACAACGATGCATCTCATAGCGTTTCAGACAAAGATTTAAGATCTATGAGCTGATTTTGTACTTTATTGGGTGAGTTGTCTTCTTGTAACAGAGATGGTTGAAGCCATGAAGAAAGTTGCACAGCTCGATGTGGAACTCACGGTTGAAGAGAGGAATCTGTTGTCAGTGGGATACAAGAATGTTATCGGTTCTAGGAGAGCGTCTTGGAGGATACTCTCTTCGATCGAGCAGAAGGAGGAGGCGAAGGGGAACGAGCAGAATGCGAAGAGGATCAAAGATTACAGACAAAGGGTTGAAGATGAACTCTCCAAGATCTGTAATGACATTTTGGCTGTCATCGATATGCATCTCATCCCATCTGCTGCCTCGGGAGAATCCACCGTCTTTTACCACAAGATGTGAGCCTTGTCCTTACAATCGGTTGATGTGATGAAATACATAGAATAGTCTTTTAGTCAAATTGTTTTGTTTTGTACAGGAAAGGAGATTACTTTCGCTACTTGGCAGAGTTTAAATCCGGTGATGATCGTAAGGAGGCCGCTGATCAGTCACTCAAATCCTACGAGGTCTGTCCTTCAGTTCCTTTTTCATTGATCGTTTCCCACTTATCTGGAGAATTTCCAAATGCAGAGTCTCATCGATATTTCTTCTATGTTTCCGACGTAGGCTGCATCCACTACAGCTAACACTGATTTGTCTCCCACTCATCCGATCAGACTTGGCCTGGCTCTCAACTTCTCTGTTTTCTATTACGAAATCCTGAACTCCCCTGAACGGTACTGCCCGTTTCAGACGATAGTTCCGCCCTTTCTATCTTTCTGTCCTGTTGTGTAATGGAATGGTTGAACCCTGACCAAATCTTATCGTTTTCTTGAACGTTCAGAGCGTGCCACCTGGCTAAGCAAGCGTTTGACGAGGCCATTGCTGAGCTCGACAGCCTTAACGAAGAGTCTTACAAAGACAGCACCCTTATCATGCAACTTCTCAGAGATAATCTCACACTGTGGACCTCGGATCTACCCGAGGAAGGAGGTAACTCACACCCGACACTTGTGATACTTGAACCGTAATTGGGGCATTAGTACTAAAGCTTAAACCTTTATTTTTCTTCTTGCAGGTGAACAATCTAAAGGGGATGAGCCTCAAGAAGAGGTAAGCAAGCAAATGTAGGAAAAAGAAAAGCCTTAACCTCTTTCTTCACAGTTCCTTCAGTTTCCTTCCCATCAGAGCGTCTGCAGAGCTGATGATGGCAACTAAGTGACGGGTGGCTTTGTGTATTGGTTTCTTTAGCATTGCTAAAGAACTTTTTATCCTTTGTACTCTTTTTACTGTTGTGGGTTTTACCCTTTTTTTTCTTTCAACTATGTGTCTGAAAACTTGTGTTATCCTGTCATGATTTTCTTGTTCTCAACTCAGTCTTGACAATAGCCTTCTGCCTACTTCTTTAGCAAGATATCCGAATTTTGGGCGTCTGTCTGTTCCGAGGGTATCCGAAATTCGGGTAATCGGTCGAGGTGAGCGTGAGATTTTGGTCCGTGACTTTGGGGAACTCGAGCCTGTGGGATCGAGTTCGATTTTCGTACGTCAATTATCGCACCCCGATAATCGGAGGCAAAGGGAGGAGAGGGTGGATCGGTGAGAGGGCGAGGATGTGGTCATTAGGGTTTCGAAAGACGATAGTTTAGGTGAATTAACGCCTGTTTCTGGTCGGCCAAGTGTTCCATGAATATCCGAAAATCGGGTACTCAATTCTCCAAGGTCGAAACCGAATACTCTGACCGAGAAATCCGAGATCAAGGTCGGATACATTAGAAAACTCGGGTACCCAATCCGCTCCGACAGTAGCATGGTATGAAGTTTATCTTCCGTAAGCATTTTATTACCAAAGTAACAGAATTTCACAAAGTGCATAACAGAAAATACAAGTTCCCATTACAAGAAAACATGTTTTTATGTCCAATAAACAAAGCAAAGAAAAAAATGTGCTTTTTTTTATCTACACACACCCACCAGTTTCTCTGAACAAATGCAGAAGAGAAGTTTCATACACAAACATCATTCATGGTTCACTTTCAAAAAAGCAAAAATCAAAACCAATACCAGACAGGACGCCGGAAAACTAACAACCACCGGAATTATACACCGGAAAAATAAAGATAACCCTCCACCATCTCCAATTCTGCGGAATCACATGACTTTTCTTGTTGGAATGAAAGCCTTGTCGGAATCTGACCTGTTTATTCGGATGTTCGAAAAGATTCCATCACCTAAATCTAACGACAACGCAAGAAATGTCGTCTTTGCTATCTCTTCTGATTGCTTCGGCTGTTAGTTCTTTCGCCGCTTTCAAAGGATCTTTGATCCTCCTTGCAATATCCACGGCCTCTTGGTTAGCCATAACCTTATCATTCACACGTTAAACCGTATTAAAAAAATGACCCTTTTCGTTAAAATCATTTCGGATTTTAAGAGCTAAACTGTAGATGGGTTTTACCTTCCATAGACCATCGCTTGCCAGAACAAGAATGTCTGTGTAACCGTCTACCGTGGTATCTTGTATGTCTGGATCTGATCTTAGATGGGTTTTAAGGCTCTTGTCCCCAAAAGCACGGGAAACGGCTAACTGACCATTAACCCGAGGGACATCTCCTGAAGAAAGAAAAAACAAAAACAAGAGAAAGCATGTTTGGCATGTAGACATGTAAAAGACAGCCCTGATTCGTCTGAAAGATATATGATGATTGTAACCTGGCATGTTTGATACGAAGCCTCCTCTATCCTCGATGCTCATTCTTTCGGTGTGTGGTTCATGATCTGTGGTCATCTGAATTGCCCGACCGCCTTGAGATAGAACAGCTCGGGAATCACCCACGTTTGCCACCCACAGATGACGCCCGTTTATCAGAATAGCGGTTACTGCAGTTGAACCACCTCGGCCCAAGTCAGAGGTATGCGAGAGAATCGCCTGGTCTGTTTTCTCATAGGCTTTCATGATTGATCTGTGTGGATCACGTAAGAAATCCTCCTGAAAAAAACTTAGATCGGAAAATGTCAAAACGAGGAAACATGATGGATTATTCTGAATGCCTAAAATCACGGAAGAAATGGTGGGAGTCGAGACCTCCTTGAGGATATTTGAGAATAGATGTTTCTGTAGATACGCTGGAACACGTTCACCCAAATGGCCATCGTAGATAGCAAACAGACCGAGTTCATGACCACCCATTTTCACAAACTTGGCCACATGATAATCCTCCATTGGATGATTGGCTTTTCCTTTCACTAAGCTGTAACCAAACTTGATCTTGCCATGGCCGTTTTTCCCTTTTCCAGAGCTAGCAGATGACCGCCCAACTGCAAGCTACAAAGAAAGGCGCAAAGACGAAACAGTAAAACATAATCACATCTCAAATCACTTGAACAAGAGAGAATGAAGATATGCAAGAGCCGGAAAAGAACAACAAAGGGGACAAGGAAGCAAGACATGATCAATGTACTCATCCATCAGATGAAACAAGTTTGTGAACTGTACTGAACTGTTCAAATGCCAAAGTTTGACCATAAACCCACGAAATTGATCCGAATTCTTTCCAGAAGCAGTTTGTCGCATATCAGGTCCTCACTCAAATCATCAATCACCGGAACAATCAATCAACAATCCTAGCTACCATAACGCGTATTTGTGAAGATATATATACTTTTACCATCAGAAACGTTCAGACGCGAATTCATCCAAAAAAAAAACGAGATAAAGCAGAAAAGATCAAAGTTTTGAAGGAAGATGTGAGTCTTGAGTCACATACATCGTAATCTGAAGAACCGAAGCAGCAAAGCCTCTCCATGAAAGCAGATGCTTAATTAAACAACAATTCCGATTTGTTCAACTGGCTCGGCAGCATCCGCTTCAATCTTCCGGCCTGCAACATCAAAAGCCCTTAGAACTGTGATAATCAAAAACCCTAATCCCAATTTTCCAAAAAAATCCCGGTAAAACAAAAAAAAAAAACAGACAGAAAAGACTCAAGAGAAACAAGAATTAGCAAAAGGGTCCTCGAGAATCACCTCCAAGAGCAGAACCCAGATTTCAGAAACGAGAAAGACTCGACCTTGGGGGTGTCTACCGTAGGAATAACACCGTGACTGAAGGGGTATCAACAAAATGACAGAGTCCGCCACGTCTTCGTGAAAGTCTTCGGTAAAACGACGGAATTAGTGGAACACGACGACGAGGAGACTTAATTTTCTGTTTTGTTTTTTTTTCTCCCTTAAGAAAAAAAAACTCTTATCTCACCTCCCCTTTGTATTGGGCTTCAATGGTTGACTTTCTTGTCGAACCTCAAAAGCAGAGTTTCTGTAATTTGGACATTTTCAATTGCCGTCTGTCTGAAAACACACATCATATCTCCTTTCGTACGCTAAATATGTTAAAAAAAAAAAAAAAAAAAAAACCAGTTTAAGTTCCTCTCTGAGAAGAAACACTTCACTTTCCCTTCATTTATTCTTTTACTTTTCTAATCTCTCTTCTTCTTTTCCCTTCTTTTAGCGTTTTCTTTGGTGGTTGGTTCATAATATGTAACGTAGTCTATAGTTTATCTTTGAACATAATTTTTTTTATAGGAAATTTACCACTATATAAATGCATACAAATTTTATGTTCGGCGGTTCTTGGAAATCTATATTAGTATTTTCTCAATTTTGGATTATTTTTCTTTTTTTGAGATGCACTCTCTAAATTTTTGAAGTGTTTCCATTGAATTTTCAGAGGCCAAAATCATAAAATTTGGAACTAAATATATAGATATAAGCAATTTCGGAACTAACCCTCTCTGAGAAGAAACACTTCACTTTCCCTTCATTTATTCTTTTACTTTTCTAATCTCTCTTCTTCTTTTCCCTTCTTTTAGCGTTTTCTTTGGTGGTTGGTTCATAATATGTAACGTAGTCTATAGTTTATCTTTGAACATAATTTTTTTTATAGGAAATTTACCACTATATAAATGCATACAAATTTTATGTTCGGCGGTTCTTGGAAATCTATATTAGTATTTTCTCAATTTTGGATTATTTTTCTTTTTTTGAGATGCACTCTCTAAATTTTTGAAGTGTTTCCATTGAATTTTCAGAGGCCAAAATCATAAAATTTGGAACTAAATATATAGATATAAGCAATTTCGGAACTAAATATGCAATAAGTTTTTCCAATCGGAAAATAGAAAATGACAAATCTTGATGGTATTCATTTTCAAAAGTTTAGGCATGTTATCACAAAATAATATTAGTTTAATATGAGAAAATAAACATCCCTTATAAATATCACATCGTTGGATTTTTATATAGATGTTATTTCTTAAGCAATATAAATATATTTATATTTGACTCCACCGATAAAAAAGATTTATATTTTTATAGAAAATTTTTTGGGTTCAACTTTGATTAATTTGGGTTTTTAAAATATTTACAACTAATCTATTTTTTTTATTGTCTCTACAATTTTATATTGTTTTATTCAATTCTATTATAGATTTTATATATCAAACCGAAAATTGTATTCCTATTATATCATCATACTAAATTCAAAAGGTTGGCAATTATGGATTATATCCAAAGTTTTCTTCGACTAAATCCAAATACAGATATTGATTTTGGATTGAGTGGTTACAATAAATCATAGCTACAACTGTAACAATATAAGGGTATGGAAGTATGACATATAATAAGGGTATATGTATAATGTAGAATTGTATAAATGTAGCTCCTAGTCAAAGTATCATAATTTCTTTACCCAAATTTTATAATGAAAAGATAGCTAATAGTGGCACCCATCAACTTCTACCCAAATAATAGTTGATTATCTTGTATCAATTTCCACTTCTAACAATGATTATTAATCCTTTTTTTTTCTAAGCCCTTATATGTTATAATCATAGAGTTTCCTCCCCAATCTTTTTTTAATTATCAAATCCTTCCAATTTTTTTTTCATCCCCACCTTAGTCTATGATATATCTATATGATTACATGCTAATCGACTAATATATTCTGAAATCGAATTTATCAAACATTTTTTTTCTATATCTTATGTTATATTTTTTTTACGGTAAATATATATATTTTGTGGGAAAAACAACAAAAATATGTTTCTCCCCGGGCAAAAAAATTCCGGCCCATGCACGTCAACGACGACTTGTCGGATCCATGTTTGACAATTTCTTTGCCAATGTTATATTAATATATACGCGTATAAGGCATATCCTTGATCGAATCTTTGACACTTTCTCCTCGTCCTTCAATACAGTTTCATGGCAATAATATATCATTGACGAATTCTAAATTTCTAATCATTACGATTATGACGGATATTAATATTATCTCAAATGAAATCAAAACCCGAGTGCGTATCCATACATATGCATACACATACATATATATATATATATAATACTTACATATATACATATAATACGAGCATGCAGATTATGAATTGGATGTCTGACTAACCAAAAAGAGAGAGGACAATGTCTGGTCTATTACCAGAGACATAGTAGGAACTATACAACAAGGGCTATGTTTATGTATACAAGATCGAAACATATATCAAATGTATTATCGGATCAGGTTTCTGGGACCGGTTATCCAGCTCCATAACCGGGTAAATACATCAAACCAAGCCAAAGTTATACCGGTTTAGCTGTGGATAAAGCCCTGTGAAATCCCATGTTTCACCTGTAACGTGTCAAAGTAAACACTTCAAAAACTCTGCTCCTGCTTGGTTAGAACAGTGCACCAAATACCAAATCGGGTTCATCGAAATTGAAACTTTAGTTGGATTTTTGTGAAAGATTGGAGTATTTTAACTGGGTTGTTGCTGAAAAATCAAAACTTGGGATGCATGTTACATACCCGGTCTGAGAAAGCCGTCTCCAGTTCAGAATTTGGCGGTGATTCTGCAAGTAACTAGATGTTGTACTTCCTTCAATTCCGTTTTCTTCACCAGGGAACTGTTCTGAGTAAGCAGGAGACCAAACCGGGACAACGCCTCCGTCCCTCTCTCTTCTGATGCTGCTAGAGGATTCGGCAGTTGAATCTTCTTCTGTGTTCTCCACTGCTATTCTGATGTTGAACTCCGGCATAGCACCGAGCTGGTTTGATGCCGGTTCTGTTCTTGGCTGTTGTGTCTGGTTCATGTTCATGTTCCCTGGAACTTCTGCTCTGTTGTCTCCTTCAGAGTTTCTCAGCTCGACAGAAGATTCTTCCTCTTCTTCCAGTCTGATCAAAGACGAAGTAATACTCGGGACCATCTGATCCTCGTACCGTCTGGTTGGAGCATTAGGGTTGTGTCTAGTTGGCTCTTGGTTTTCTTGAGGCTCTTCCATTGTGATGTCTCGAGGGAAAGCGATGGGAGCTGGCTCCATGCCAGAAGAATCTCCAAGTCCTTCTTCTGTTCCGTTCTCCATTGCAGCTCTTGAAGCAGCTTCTAGCTGCCACATCTGCAAAAGGGCCTCTTGAATCCGTGCTTTCGCTTCGTCTATCCCCACAATGGGCCGTGGATAGTTTGATCCTAGTTCGATACCAGCAGCTTGAAGCACAGATTCAGGTGTGTTCCATGGATGGTGTATCCATTCTGTGGGCAGTCTAGAAAGTTCTGGAAGCCATCTCCTTACGTATTCCCCGTGTGGATCAAACCTATACCCTTCAAACTGTGGATTATCTATACGATCAAACTCCCGGCTATCTGGGAGAGTACCAGTAATGTATTGCCAACCAAGTGCATCACTTTCTAAATCAGCATCCAGAAGAGTGTCCCAGAAATACTTCATTCCCCATCGCCATGGCAACTGAAGCACTTTCACGAAGAAGCTCGAGACAACTACTCTTATACGATCGTGCAACCAACCAGTAGCCCATAGCTCTCTCATCCCAGCATCAACCAATGGATAGCCCGTCCGGCCTTGCCTCCATGCCTTGAAATAGTTCTCATCCACAACCCAAGGGAAGAACTTTAGATGGCCAAGAAGTGGCCTTTCATGGGAATATGGATGGTTGAAGCTCATGTATCTTGAATATTCCCTGAGACCAATTGATTTGAGGAAAAGGTTCACACTTTCTTCTCCGGCTTTGTTTCCTTCGTTTGCCCAGGAGACCTGTTTGATCCGAACAAGGTGGAAAACCTTTCTCACGCTCACTTCCCCGAAATGCAAGTGTGGAGAAAGGAATGAAGTTGTGGCACTATCGGCTTTCCTACGGTTCTTGGAGTATTCGATCAATGGCCCGTTTATGAACGTCATTAGAGCTTTATCAGCGTTGCTCCAGCCCGGTGACCATGCTCGAGCTAGAAGGGCATTGCTTCCTTTCTCTGATTCATCCTCGAAGACCAATGTGTCTGAAGGACACTTGGACACATCACCTACAAGATTAGAGAATCAAAATGGATAATCCAGAATCGGGTTTCATCTTTAGAGAAGAAGTTGGGGGAGTATGACCAAAAACAGACCTGAAATGATCCTCTTGGGTGGGAGGAGAGGTGCTTCCGGGTCATAAGGCATGCTAAGGCATCTGTCCCAAAAGGCAGAAAACTTTGAGAAGGGACGGCCTTGCGCATCATTCACCTCCCAAGGCTCGTAAAGCAAATCAGCGTTATATGATCTAACGATTATGCCTTGCGCTGTCAGAACCTCCTTAGCACGGTGATCACGAACCAGAGACAAGGGATCTGAAACATAGGCATTGATTTGCTCAGATTCTGTACAAACTTCCCCATACAGACAAGAAACATAACATATGTTCCAAGAAAAGGATATCCATGAACGGAGCAAGAGAGACATTACTAACACATTAAACCCTCCGTAAAGGCAGAAAACTAAGCATAACCCATTTGAAAACATAACATTTACATCACAGAAAAGGCCATCACTGTTGGGAATATGATTCAAGTTCTCGTACAGATTTAGACAAACAGTTAATGTGTTGTTATGTTTCCGGTTGTTTTTGTATTTGAATTTAAAACTGTATGGGTAGTTATTTAAGGTTATAAATATGTGTATTTGTAATGATTTAATGCAAGGTGTTATACTCTGTTTCTCAACGGAAGAAACAGGGGTTGGTGGAACACCTTCAATCATTCTTAAATTCAAAGCAAGGAAAGTCTTTTCTTTGAGAGAATTAACAATCACAAACCCATTAAACCATATGTCAGTGTATTGTAAACGAGAATACAAGAAAAGGGCAAGGGCGAGAACCGACCATACAAGTGGTTGAAGAAGAGCTGAGAAGCACCAGTGGCTTTGACAACTTCAAGAAGAGAAGCGACACTGTCCGTGGATCTCTTGGTGACGAGACAAGTGCCTAAGCTCCTAAGAGAGGAATCGAGCTGAGCCAAGCTATTCTTCAGCCACCACCTCGAGACCCTTCCCGGATAATAGTGACCTTCTTCTTCAGGAGCCCAGACGAAGACTGCAATCACCGGACCTGCTCTTACACCGGCTGCTAATGCTGGATTATCTTCAACCCTAAGATCTCTTCTGAACCATACGATACTAGTTGACATCTCCGAAACGGAAACCATGCACGACGATGGGGAAAACCCAGTTCCTTTTGAGGGAAAAAACGGGTTTTTTTTTAATCTGTATTTACCCGGAATCCAACCCTTATTGGCTTGTTTCTCTCTCTTCGAGCTGGGGAAGAACAGAGGAAATATTTTTGGTGGGCGTTTGATGCGAAAAATCTTATCTTTAAGAACAATTTTGCCCCTTCTCTGCCTCTCTGGAAATGCAACAAAGCTTTTTGGGAATTATTCACATAAAAGAATTATAGTTTTGGACAAAATTGTGAAAAGCGATAAGCATTTTTTTTTTACATTTATTTCCATCTTTTCGTATTTATTGAACCCAATATTAAATAAAATAATTATTTACCTTTTTTTTCCTTCCCTCGACTTTATCGTGAGAAATTGAGAACGATTCTCTTCTACACCCAGAAAAGAAAAAGCTTTGATTTTTTTTAGGGAAAAAAAAAATAATTGGTCAGTGGGTGAAGGATTTCCATTGACAAAAACAATGAGATTCATTGGAAATTTTCCCACCACACCTTTTTTTTTTTCTTTTGTTTGTATTTTCCGATTTTATTTCCTTAATATTATCCTTTCCAAATTACAACAAAACAAACAAAAGTGGCTCACAAGATTTCTAGTCCTTCCCAAATTTCACCTTTTCTTCCTTGTAAAAAAAATAAGAGAACAACTAAAAGCTTCTCTCTCTCTTTTCTTAGAAGAAATTCTGCACAATTTTCATATAAATTTGTAATTTCATAAGCAGGCATGTGTAATACGATGCTTATTTAAAAACGGATAGGGGAGTGGGAGTTCTAGTCCAAATGAAATACTTGATAAGGGGGATAAAATAAATCTTTGATAAGGGATGACTTTCATAACGCTGTGAATATTTGACCTTTTTCATATATATATATATATATATATATAGAATAGGAGAGAGAAGAGATGAAGATGACACAATGGCCATATTGGGGTAAGATTCTCAAGTTTTATTGGAAGTTGGAGATATGAGAGGACATGTTGGCAGTGTGGTGGGAAGTGGATAGATATGCTGACCCCTTTACCTCTCTCTCTCTATACCATTATCATACCATTATCACAAATTACATTTACAATAATTCTAAAACATAAAACACGTCAAATAAACACATATAGTGGATATCTGCTATTTGTTCCACCTTCATTAAATTAAATATTATTATTTTATATTACATTGTTTTAGATTTCTCTAAATAGTTTGCCATCCATATTCCATCTTTTTGTAACCTTTTTTCGACCGCTAAAGTTTGAAAAAATGAGTAATTTCTCATGATCTAAGCGCGCGGGCGCATACATATATAGATAAATAATTTTTTTATAAGATAGATAAACTTGTCTTCAACAAAATTGTTTCAGAATTTCAAAGAAACAAAAAAGCAAACATATGTATATAAAGACACTATTTTTTTTTTCTATAAAAAAATAATAATAAAGAGTATGGGTTACATTACATCTGAGCATGGGCAAGGTTGATTGAAGTGGAGCATGTGCACTGTCAGCACATGCAACGCAACATGTGGTCCGGACCTATATTGTCTTGTTACGTTTAGTACATTATACACATATGTATATATAGCTATGCGCAGTATACTACGTACTATCTATTAAAATCAATATATACTGCATGGATTTTAAAAAATCTAACAACATATATAACTTAATCAAATATTATCAATTTTCTAAAAAATAGATCAACTGAATCACGTCATCATTAATTAGTCAAACAATATCAATTTACATATATAAATATTAATCTTACGAGTTATGTCAGTGTTCAATGATAAAAAAAATCGTCATTAAATTAACACGTTCGTGTGCAAAAAATTAACAATATTTAAATAATTGGTATAATCTTTTTAAAAGATTTAATATATATATATATATATATTAATCATATTTTAACAAATTGATGTATTTATATAAAAAAAATTTAATACATATATAGAACCGGTCTACAAAAAAATTTAATAACAAGAACTCTAATAAAACAAAAAAACAAATATATTAAATTTAGCTTTAGGGTGGAAACAAAATGAAATGAATCTATATTGTGTTCAACAGATTCTATATTTTGTTTAAGCTGATATGAATGAATTTAAAATTAATACAATATATATATATATAGTGTGTGTGTGTGTGTGTGAATTCTAAGCTATCGTTTCCCTTTCGCAGCTGACTTGGAGCTTGACCAAATGGGTCCATTGTTTATAACAGGAACAAATGACACCTTGTCAGATACAATAGCGATATGTTGTCTTTTAGTGAGCAATATATATCAAATATTATATAATATAATATATTATTTAATGGCTATATTTGGACATTTTACGAGAGTTTTGGAAATTGTGAATTTTGGTGATGGTTATTGTTTTTCAAAATTACATTTTTCTTTGCACCAATTAAGAGGAATTACCTTACTCTCCAAAGGTCGTACGAGATCTTCAACCGCATTGGTAACATTTTTTTTTTTGCACAAAGCATATAGTAAATTACAAGATTGATTAAATGTTAAGGGATTTAATATTCTATATAAAATTAGAAACTGATTATCAGAAGCTTTGTTCTAACTTTTAACATTAATGACGGGGGAAGATGAGGTTAGGATATTAATTAGGAAGAAATAAGCACCTAATCCAAGTAAAACCATGCGAGTCCTATTTAATTATATATTAAATTATGCAAAAGAATTCACTAATTTGGCATTTTCTAATTTTTTCTCCAAAACTTGCATAATCTCCAATAAAAAGCATGATTATAAATTAACGATATATATATATATATAATAATAATAAATTTATTTAATATCTCCTTATTATACTAAAAAAATACATCTAAAGTTTACCTTTTATAAATTGTATTTTCTTTAGAAGCAAACCTTGATACAATTATGAAAATATTTGATAGCATACAAATTATATAAATTGTATTTCCCTTGTAACTAGATGTATATATGGAATATTGCTTGGGTTTTTTTATGATATATTTTAAAATAAATGATTATATTTTTATTTTTATTCATAAAAGTTTTATATTTAAAATTCTTAATTTTATTTCCATTCTACATTAGTTTTCGTATTATTATTTATTTTATAAATTCAATTGATAACTTATTATCAATACGATATATTTATTTCTTTTGAACTACCGTATATGGTTTTAATGATATGGTTTATTTTTAAATTCTATTATTTTTTGTTAAAAAATTATTTTTATCTTGTGTTCGTATGTAATATCACATAATTTTTATGATATTTTTTTTTCTATTATAATCAATATATAATATATTTAAAAACTTCAAAGTACCAAACATTTTGTAACACACGAATTTTTAAAATTATCAAATATATTTATTTTTTTTTATTTGGACAAATAATTTACTCCATGGATTATGGATTTTATGTTTTGTCAGATATTTTTATGGCATTGTATTTAATTTTTGGAAAATTGTTTATATATTTTTCGATGTTAAATGTATTCGCGCGGCAATTCAAGTTTAAATATTGTTTATTTTAAATTCAACTAATCAAATTCTGATTTTAAATATTTCAAATTTTAAACTTTTCATTATGATATTTGTTCTGAAACTTTTGTTTTGCACGACATTTTTTTTTAACAATTAAGCTTTATATCTTTTTATTATTATCTTGTCTGATTTCATACAAATCTATAAGAAAGGCACGTACCCTTAAAAGGATTAAAGACATTAAAAACGTAAAATTATAAAGATTTAAAGAGGAAAAGAAAAAACTCGGTCATCTCCACATATAATATGAACCATCCAATAATACTAAGGCTAATTAAGAAATGTTGTGGACTGGTTATCGTCGAAGCAAAAGTCCGGCCAATACGGCAACGCCACGCCGGTTATCGTGGTATCGTTCATATTGTGAGGAAGAGAAGTAGTGGCAAGAACCCATGATGATGGATAATGATGTTGATGATGCTGGGGATGGTGATCATCATCATCATGACGAAGAGACGGTTGCTTGGCCATGTCATCGAAAGATAGATCCATTCGGTCCATCAAGTGATGATATTCACTATTCAAAGACGATGGTAGAAGAAGTGGATCAGCTCGTGATCTTTCAGTAGGACTGTTGTTGTCTAAAGGATACTGTTGTTGGAGTGATGGAGTGGTCGGATTAGTGACGGTCCCGAGAGAAAACGAACATTGGTTTTGATCCTTGAACTCATCTCGGGTCGGGTTAGGATTAGGGTTTAGGTCTTCGTTCGGTGAAACCGTGGAGTTTAAGAGATTCATCGCATGGTTATGATCGATGTCGAGAATGTTGTTCGGACCGTTACCGTTTAAGGAAGCAGCGGACTGAAGAAGGCATTGGAGATGGATCTTCATTAACTGAGCGGCTTCGGCTTGGATTGATGAGTACGAGTTCTGTTCGATGAGGTCTTTTAGGTTTGCTAAAGCTATGAGCTGAGGTAAGCTTGCGAAGAGATCGCTTCTTGGCCGGTGAGTCACCGGATCAATCCCCATTTGTATCAGCTTCTTCTTCATTTGCGTGTTCCAAAAGTTTTTGATTTCGTTGTCCGTTCTCCCCGGCAGATGCTTGGCGATATTCGACCATCTATAGCAATCAAACACACGTTTGAGTGTTACGCAACAATCATGCAACGAGTCAACAAGATGAAATAATTAACATCCGACACATAATTACACAGTTTATACTGTGATTGTATGACAGGAGAAGATTGTTCTATCGTTTTCGAGTATGCACCCGAAAGATAGTGAATGAATGCTGTTGTGACCTTGAGGTCACGGGTTCGAGTCTTGGAAGTAGATATTTCTGCAAGGTAAAGTTTGCCTACAATACACCCTTTTTGGTGGAACCCTTCCCCGGGCCCCGCTCAACGAGGACGCTTTGTGCACCAGGCTGCCCTTTATTATTTGGGCCAACGACAAACGATCCTACTTACTTGTTTCCAAGAATGGAATGGAGATGGAGAATCGTTTGTTCTTCCTCAGGAGAAAACTTGCCCCTCTTGATATCCGGTTTCAAGTAATTTGCCCATCTCAGCCTACAGCTCTTCCCACATCGATTCAAACCTGCAAAAAAAAAAAGGAAAAAAAAAAATTCCGACACTCACAAGATTATGTCCAAATGACAAACAACGTTGATACAAACATCAGCGTATCTCGGTTTTTGTTCGAATGACATGGAAAAGTTTAGTAGATTAAGCTAACGAACCAACAAAAAACAGAACCTGCAAACTCGGGGAGGGTTCTCCAGTTTCCATGGCCATGTTTCCTAACATATTCGACGAGCTTTTGGTCTTCTTCAGGCGTCCATGGCCCTCTCTTCACGCCATTCCCATCGCAGCAAGGTGGCCGTACCATCTCTTTCTTCTTGGTTCTTTACTACGACTAATATCGGATTCGTGGTTGAGACTTGGTATTTATAGTCGTGTGAAAACCCTAAAAAGATATTAATAAAAGAGAAGAAGAGAGAATACAATATCTTATTTAATGTAATGCTACGTGACTATAACGTTTTGATAGTTAAGTATTACTGTCCACATATCATTAATGAAGAATGCGGCACATAAGTGTCTGTGCATGTCACCTTCTCCATCGCTATTTTGGATGACGTATATATGTTTCTTCATGCATACATTATTGTTTATGTTTTTCTTTTTTATTTATTTATTTTGTAACGACAAAAAACTATATCAAGAACGAGAGTGTCGTACCAAAGTCACTTGGCATGTCGAGGTCCCATTTACAAAAAAACCATGCCACCACCACCATAAATGCGTAGCATGTTCAAGAAAACCTAAACAAAAGTGTCTGCTTACGAGTTCTGTGTCGGAAAGTTGCGAATGATACGTAGCTTCCGAGGAATTCGATTCACGAGATCTAAATCTCGAATTCTTTTCACGTACAAGCTACAAACGGATACTGTTTGGAAGTGTAGAACGAGAACGTGATCGAGGCTCGAGCTATGTCCGTATCGGACAAACCTTTCTAATATTTAAAATTTTGTTTTTTTATTTAATACATTGGTTTAACGACGAAGAATATTAGTCAGCAAACTAATCCATATTATCAGCCTAAACATTTGCTAAAGGATATTTGTTATGAAAACAGTTGTTACTACTTTCTCATTCCTGAAACGCTGGCGACTGCGTTAATGCTATAATGATAGTATGGTAAAAAAAAAAAAAAAGACACAGTAATTTCATTCTTGCACCTTTTATCGCCAATTGGCAATGAATCGGCTACGAGATTTATTCAGCGACACCTTTTCGTTGCTATTTGCTAATGTTAGTTGGTGAAGCAAAAATAGCCTTTAACGACATTTTTGCTATATATATAATATATATGGGCGTTTTTTGCAGTGATATGAATCCGTCTTATTTATTTAAATACAAATGATGATATCCAATATTCGGGAGCTGTTAAATAATTCTTAATAGGGTTTTGCGTAATTATAAATATACAGGATGTTTATAAGCAATAGGTATGTAAATCCCTTAATATTACATCTTGACCTATATGTATGGCTCAAATTAATCTTTGATATAATAGGATAAAAATTTATTTGTATCAACACAGACAACCATTATATCTTGCAAAAAAACTAATACTGTGTTTTCTATGGAGTATTCATGTGGAAAAACCAATTATATTCCCAACTGAAGTATTCGTAAAGTGCTTTATTTTTGTTTTTAATAGAATTAATTTTTTTTCCCAAAAGATGTATTGGGTAGTTGTATATTGGTATTGATTCATTAAAAGAAAACATATTTAAATTTTTGAGGTGGAGAAACTAAGATGATTATAGGCAATATTTAGCAATAATTATAAGTTGGTAAACAAATATGATCCCAATCTCATAAGTATTCTCCTTGAAACTTGACATCTACCGTGGAACAAGAAAAGAAAAGAAAAAGTAGTTCCTATCTAATATTATTTTTAGTTTTCTTTTGGAAGATTAGGGTTACTAATTAATGAGCTTAAGTATTTTTTTTCCCCCTTTTAGGGTGATGAACTTATTAAGTACCATAATCTCGGTTCTTGGATCAATGCCCTCCACGTCCCTTTTGGTGCCCATTCTAGAACACTTTGTATGCTCAATCTAGTTGTTGTCCCGTTTGCGTTCGCCTGTTCACTGCGGTGGTGGCGTTTGCGTTTTGGAAGTCCTGACTGGCGTTTCTGTCAAAAGTTAGCAAACGCGAACGCAAAAAACACTCCTGTGCCCTGCACTTGATATGCCATCTCTCTCAATAAGTTCTTCAAAACATCCAAAAGGCTTGGAAACGAGAAAAATAATGCCATCTCTCTCAATAAGTTGAGTTTCAAGCGTAAGCGATTAGTATGGTGATTTTTTTTTTTTTTAAAAAAAAGAGTAACGGATGTTACAAACCAAGGCTTAATTTCATGTTTAGATTCAATTGCTTCAACATCCAATTATATATATAAAAAAAAATCCTTTTGTGTTGCAAGGTTAACTTGTATAAAAATCGATCTTTCGCGACAAGAATCATGAAATGGCTGGGATTCCTTTAGCGTTCAAGGCGATACAGCGCTGTGTTAATGGAGGAGCTTTGCATATGGTGTGCAATTAACATGTCAAAAGCAGCAATCAACACCATTTTCCTCGGCTTGATTCAACAAGTGAAGTTGTAAACGTTCTTTAATATGAATGGATATGTATATAATAAATGTACCGAGAGGCATATATATATTCATTGGCTTTAACGACCAAAAGTAAAATACCATGAATATGGATATATAGAGCTTTCCAAGATCAATAGACACCTCGATATCATCCGTACGATCGAGCTTGACAATAGCATACGACAACATACATAATTTAAATGACTAAGTTTTTAGAAGGAACACGATTTAGTCTGCATTCCTTGTATTCAAAACAAGCATGACCAATAAAATGTCCCCGGCTAGTGAGAATATGGTTTACTCGATACATTATTATGACGTTTGATCATTTTTAACGTGCTTATAACTATTTTGTATGATGGAGATAATTATTATATATAGTTGAAAATGAGTCATATATGAACTATTTGTTAGCATAACCTCTTTTTTGTTCTTTAGCGTAGCAGAAAAGAAAAATAATTCTTTTATTTAGGTATTTTAAAATTTTGTTGGTTTAGTAGTTTTATATTCTATTAGTCAAGTATGAATTAGTTTTTTTTTTGGTTAAAATTTAGGTATGTTTTGGTAAAAGTTAAAGTTCGGATATTAATTAATAGGCTTTTTATAGATCAGAGTTTGGTATTTTTCTTATTCATTCTTCATAAATAATAACGCATGATATCAACCCGATGGATGCAACATCATCGCAAAGCAAGTTTAAATTAAAAAAAAAATCGTGTTAATTAAATATTTTAGAGTAAACAAAAAGAAAAAAAAAAGGGAAACCCGTATTTAATCAAACACAAACTCTTTTGAGAAAGAAATACAGTTGGGGCATCAAAGACATTAATGGCGGCATTTAATTGAATTGATTGTTTTCCAACAAAGCCCCATATATAAAAGATAGAATAACATTATTTCTTCAAAAAAAAAAAAATACAACAAGATAATGTGAATTTTTTTAATACGTACTTCCCTAAAAATGAAATAAACCCTCCAAAACACTACCTCTCTATGTCCTAACCCTTCTCAAAAAACTCTTAGAGAAGACAAGCCTCTGATACAATCTCTTCAAGAGAGATTTTGTCTGAAGAGAAACATCATGGGAAACGAAGCAGCTCTGAGGTCATCAATGGTGAGTCTGGCCGTGTTGATGGCTCTGGTGTGGGTTTGGACTCAGTCTCTGAAGAAGACTTTGGTTACTTATCTCATCGGTGTTTGTCTCATCGCCGGCGTTTTATTGCCCGACTGGGATTTCTTCGACCGGCCCTTCTCCCGGTGGATCTACCCTGTCTCCGCCGAGGAGAGAGCCGCCGCTCTTGCGGGAAAATCCGGTCCCAAAAGGTTAGTTTTTCGTATGATCAAATCTGATTTAGATTGTGGGTCTATGTAGTAAAATTTTGTTATCACATGTAGGAAGATGATCGTATCACTTATAGTTCAAAATGTTGATAGAGCAAAGCATGATAAATCAGTTCCAAACCCCCTTTTCTTTTCCGAATCTATTGGAGTATGTAATCGGTCTTGTTATTGTGTTCATTCAGATCTTGATTTTGTGTTTTGCTTTTATGGGTATGATTGATATTATCAGTTAGACAAGCACCATGTAGATCATATGTATGTATGGCTATGCATGTTCGTGTATGATCACTATATATATATTAGTTGTATTTTTTTTTTATTTTTAAATTTTTTGGGTATTGATAAAGATTGATGTGTTATGTGACAGGATTAGAGTATACCCTTTGAGGATAATCGTATATTGTACGGTCTACGGATTTGCGATACGCAAGTGGTGGACGCTCGTATCGACTTGAAGTCATCTTTAAAACAACTTGTATTACTTACGTCAATGTACTTGCCGAGTTAACAGATGTCTATTCTTTTCAAGCCTGCCTCACCAATTATTACATCCTTAATGCCCTTCCAACTCTCGCTGTCTTTAGTTAATAAAAATATGGGATATAGCTTTGTATAACTAGACTATGGATGAATGATAACATAATAACTTGTGGGAATATACATTAGCAAGATCTCTATAAGTAACAAAAAATTGGCTACTTCTCAAGATCCCTACAAATGTATACACCTGGTCCCTGTAACCCTAAACGCTCCCTTGAAGAATCGATGAATCGG